GCCCCGGCTCCCGCGCCTGCCTGACCGGGCGCGACCGGGCTGCGGTCCCCAGGGGCCCTGGACGTGATCTCCGCAGCCGCGCAGCACTCCAACGCCGCCATCGCCGAGATGGTGAGGTCCCGCCCGGCCCCCGCCGCTCCCCCGGGGTGGCAGGGCCCGGCTGAGGGTGTCGCCCCGGCAGGAGCGGCTGCAGGACCTGTGGGCCGTGTACCAGCGCCTGGGCCTGGACGACGACATCGTGGACCCCTCCAACGCGCTGCTCCGCGAGGGCCCGGTGCTCAAGATCTCCTCCCGCCGCCGCGACCCCATGGAGCGCTACCTCTTCTTGGTAGGGCGTCCCAGGCCCCGGTGCCCACCCAGCAGCCGGCACCAGGAGAAACGGCCCGCTTCACCCCCAAAAGCCAGGGGCTCCCCTGAGATCCGGCATGGGGTCCCACTTGGAGGTGTACATCTCCATCAGCCCTGGCGCCTGAGCCCTGGAGCAGCCTGGTGGCTTCTGCGGGCCATGGGCAAGGCGACCCCTGGGTGCCCATCCTCGCCCCACCCATCCTCCCCTCCTCCGGTCACCTGGGAGCCCCGAGAGCCGTCCCGGAAGTGGCGGGAGGAAGGGGACTGTGGTGCCCGGCTCACCCCGTGTCCCCTGCAGTTCAACAACATGCTGCTGTACTGCGTGCCCCGGGTCCTGCAGGTGGGCGCCCACTTCCAGGTGCGGACCCGCATCGACGTGGCAGGGATGAAGGTGGGTCCTGCGCCTCGCTGCCCAGGGCTTCGGGGACCAGCTGGATCCCCATGGGGCCTCGGGAGCCTGAGTCCCTGGTGCTCCCCGGGGGCACCCACCGCTCTCCAGGGTGCTGAGCCCCTGGCCTGGCTCTGCCTTCCCCGCCGTCTGCTGCCCTCACCCCTGGCTACCCAGGGATGCTCGTGCCAGGGTGGGGACAGGGCTGTCACGGTGTCCACTGACGGCACCCTCCCCTCAGAGCCTCCTGATGACCTCAGTGGAGGGCTGATGTTATTTCCTGGCACTTGGGGTGTGTTTTTTGTGGTCTTTTAAAAATAATTTTAGCTGGGCACAGTTGTGCACGTATCTAATTCCAGCAACCCAGGAGGCTGAGGCAGGAGGATCTCGAGTTTGAGGCCAGTCTGGGTGGTTTATCCATTCAGCAAGACTCTGTCTCAAAATAAACCCTAATGCTACAAAATAAAGACAGTGCAATCCCCAGGGGCTGGGGATGTGGCTCAGGGCAAAGGGCCTGGGTTCGAGCCCCTATATCACAAACTAAAATAAAATGAGAGAGTCCACAGTCAGTGGAATGGCCGCATGCTGTCCACCGTGGAACCATCGCCCACCAAGGGAAGGTGTAGCAGGGTGCAGTGTCCCCCTGGCACTTAGAGCCACAGGGCCTTGGGAGTCTTCTTGCCTGGGCCCACACGGTGATAGGGTTTGAGCCCAGCCCCCATGCCCCTGCCGGGCTTCCGCACCAAGCCCAGTATGTCCTGTGTCTTCAGGCCTGGCCCGGAAGCAGTGCCTCACCCTCATGCCTGCCCTACAGCCCTGATCCCTCCAGAGGCACTCGAGATCCCTCCACGCACTCCCTGTCCCACACTGCCCCATGTGGAGCGGCCTGAGGATCATGGAAGCCGAGGCCCCCACCTGGGGAGTCTCCCTTCCCGTCCTGAAGCAGCCACGGTGTCCATCCCAGCACTCTGGGAGGCTGAGTCAGGAGGATTGCTAGTTCAAGCCCAGCTGGGTAACTTAGAGACTTAATGAGACCCATCTCACGGTGGGGGCAGGGATGGAGCTCTGTGCAAAGGGCCTGCGGGTGGACATAAGGCCTGGGGTTTGATCCCAGCAGCAAAGAGAAACTTGCTGGGCCCTCCTGGTGAACTAGCTGCCACCCAGTGCCTCCTTCTGAGCAGCCTGGGTATGGCGGGTGCAGCACTGCCCACAGCGCGGAGTCTGCAGAACCATTTCTAAGTCTGGTGTGAAGGCAGCCTGGCCTATGACACCCAGCCTCCTCCTTCCTGAGTGCAGGAGCTGATTCTCAACCTCAGCATCTGATTCTCCCCACAGCCGGACGTGATCTTATTGCTTTGCCATCCTGCTCAGGGCTGGCCTAAAAAGAAAGAAAGGGTGTAAGCACACAGACCCCTGGGGACGCTATGTACAGCTGTGCAGGTTGTGCACTGCACAGGACATCTCATTCTAAGAGGCGCTGTCTACAGCCGACCACAGATCAGCCGACTATGGTACACAGTCATAGGTTGGATATTCATAGCAAGCGTTGCCCGGCAGATGGCAGTCAACTGTTTTGTACCAACCAACAAAACCCGGGTATGATGCCAGTTTGCCAGCAGATGTCAGTAAAGCACCTGGGGGCAGGGGACCCTTTTCTCAATGGCACAGTGGCACCGGACAGACTGGGCAGACCCTAACCCTGCAAAATAAAAACAGTGCACTGTCCAGTAACACACAGAGGGGAAGAGACAGAGAGAGAGAGTGAGCACAGGACAGCCAGAGGCCCGGGCACCGGCTGGCTCAGCAGGACTAGGAGGTGGCCACGCGCTCCCTGTCCCTGTGCCCTGAACGTGACTGGTCCCTGGGCGCCAGGCTGACTGGTGCCGCCCTCCCTCCCTCCCTCCCACCCCGGCCCTACAGGTGCGGCCACTGCCTGACTCCGAGTTCCCGCACTCCTTCCTGGTGTCGGGGAGGCAGCGCACCCTGGAGCTGCAGGCCCGGTAGGTGGGGACGCCGGGGACGTCTGGGACTCCCGGACACTCACCCGCCGCCCCGCCGGCCTCACGCGCCCCCTCCCGCAGGTCCCAGGAAGAGATGATCTCCTGGATGCAGGTACGGCCTCCCTGCTCTGCCTGAGGCGCTGCCCACCGGCGGGCTGGGGTTGGCCCTGTGTTCAGGTCCGCTGGGTGCATCCCTTGCCCCCTCTGGGCCTGTGCGGCCCGGGGCTGACGTCACCCAGCGCATGCTTGGTACCCGGAGCTTGCAGGGGGGCTGGGGGCGGTGACTGTTGGGTGCCAGGCGGGTAGATGTCCGGAAGCTGCCCGCCCATCCTCCCTCAACGCCCGACCCCACGCCCCAGGCCTGCCAGGCCGCCGTGGACCACATCGAGAGGCGGAACGAGACCTTCAAGGCTGCGGCCCAGGGGCCGGAAGGCGATGCCCAGGAGCAGGAGGTACAGGAAATGGGGCTCGCTCCCTCTCGGGCTCCCAAGGCCAGCATGGAGGGGCGGGGGCATCACCTGCTGGGACAGCTCCAGCCCCGCGCCTGAGCTCCCGCTGCGCCCCTCGCCCCTTGCAGCTGCAGTCCGAGGAGCTGGGCCTCCGGGCCCCACAGTGGGTGCGCGACAAGATGGTGACCATGTGCATGCGCTGCCAGGAGCCCTTCAACGCCCTGACGCGCCGGCGCCACCACTGCCGAGCCTGCGGCTACGTGAGTGCCCGCCAGCCCTCGGCACGGGCACCCCACGGGTTCTGTGGCTGACCCCGGGGGCGGGGGCCAGGGCGGTGCGCGCATCCCGCCGCAGCCGGGACACAAGCGACTCTAGCACCGAGGGCACGCATGCATCCAGGTGCAGGTGACAGTCACTTCCCCAGGCCGCCTGGTGGCTCCCGTCTATGAGGGAGAGGGCACTCGCAGCTGGCCCCGAGCCTTGAGCCCATTCACACTTGCAACCTTGTAAGCAGTTCTGTAACCTCTTAAAAACCACCGGGCGTGGCGGTGCACGCCTGTCATCCCAGCACTCAGGAGGCTGAGGCAGGAGGATCGTTGTGAGTTCAAGGCCAGCCTGGGCTACATAGTGAGTTCCAGGCCAGCTTGAACTGCATAGTGAGACCTTGTCTCGAAATAATAATAATAATTAATAAATGCATGTAGCAGCAGGAGGGAAAATGAGTATTTACTCACTATATTAATTTATATTTCTCAATTTAAAAACTCCTCGGAGGCGGCTCCGGCTCCAGCGGGGGCACTTGCCTGGCCTCCAGCAGGCGCTGGCTTTGTCCCAGCACCGCACCAAATAAAGAGCCCTGCTGTGTGGGGCCGCCCGGTCCTGCCTCTGGTTCTCACAGCTCCGCCTGGCTGCTGCTGAGTCACCGTCCCGGTGACCTGGGTGCCAGTTTCTGTCTCCCCCGCCTGCCCCAGGGTACCTGGGAGGGCGGGGCCGCCACTGGGCGCGGTGACAGGGCCGTGCCTCCTCCCTCTGCTCCCTCTCTTCCCCCACCGGCTGGCCGGGACAGCCGGGTTCTCCCGTGGCTGAGGGACGCCTGCAAAAGCGAGCTGGCCAGCAGGGGGCAGTGTGGGCAGAGGGAGGGGACACCTGTGAGGCCAGGTGTGGGACTTCCCGACCTCGGCCAGCTAAGGACCAGCCCTGCAGTGCCGCCCGGGCTCTTGCTCCTTCCTCTTGACCCCCGTCCTCCGCCCACCCCGCCAAGGCGGCCCCTCAGGCCAGTGTCCCCGCCCGCCCGCAGGTCGTCTGCGCCCGCTGCTCCGACTACCGCGCCGAGCTGCAGTACGACCGGGGCCAGCTGCACCGCGTGTGCGCGGCCTGCTACACCTTCCTCACCGGCCGCGTGCTGCCCGAGGAGCGCGAGGACCGGAGGCGGGGCATCCTGCAGGTGAGGCCGCCACAGGGCCACCGTGTCATCCTGTCCTGCTGTCTGCCCTCAGGCCCTCGCCCGGTGCCCGTCCAGATGGAACAGGACAGGGCCTGCCCCCACAAGGAGGCCCTCGGCCGCAGGCTGTCGGGCAGACTCCCCGGCCCAGCAGTGCTGGCGTGGCCACCCCGACCCGCCCTGTTCACCGCCCTGTGGCCCGGCGCAGTCACGGGAGGGGACACGGAGGCTCCAGGCAGGCAGACTGCAGATCCGGGCTGCTGGTTCTTTCCCAGGGAGACCCGGGTCCAGAGACGTAACCCCCAAGGGCACAGGGCAGCCCGTGCAGCTCTGGGGACCCCACAGTGCACCGCAAATCCCGTGTCGTGGGCCCAGACACTGGCTGCCCGCACAACCCTCTTAAAGGACAGGTAGAAGGGCCAGCGTCCCTGCGGACCACACAAGGCACCCTCCTGTTCCAGGACACCTGCCCTCTCCCCCTCAGCCCTGCCCTGGGCGCCCCCGGCCCCACATTGCTCTGTCCCTGCTGTCCCCCTCTGCCGCAGAAAGGGGCTGCAGCCGGGCCCGACGGCAGCGTGATGAGCGGCTTCCTGCAGCTGCTTGGGGACAGGTGGGGCCGGAACAGCAGCCGGAGCTGGTGCGTGATCCCCCGGGACGACCCCCTCGTGCTCTACGTCTACGCAGCCCCGCAGGTAGCACCTGCCCTCTGCGCACCCGCCGGCTCCGGCCGGCAGGGAAACAGGCCCAGGAAAGGGCTGGGGGTTTCAGAGCCGGGTGGGAGGCAGGTTATTCTCCCTGCTCTCCAGTCCCTTCGCCAGCCTGCCCACCTTCGGGGGCTTGGGGGAGAGCAGCCTCACAGCTGCCTTTGATTAAGCCAGGCACAGTGACCTACACCTGTAACCCCGACATTCTGGGAGGCTGAGGCAGGAGGATCCCATGTTTGAGCCCAGCCTGGGCCACTTTGCAACTTCAGGAGACCCTCCCTCTAAATAAAAAATAGAAGGGGCTGGGGCCGCAGCTCAGTGCCAAGGCCCCGGGCTGACAGCCGCCACTGCTCTGTCCGGCAGGACGTGCGGGCACTCACCACCATCCCACTGCTGGGCTACCAGGTGACCGCCGGGCCGCAGGGGGACCCACGCGCCTTCCAGCTGCAGCAGTCGGGCCAGCTGTTCACGTTCCGGGCTGAGACGGAGGAGCTGCGGGGCCGCTGGGTGGAGGCCGTGGGGCGGGTGGCGGGTGGCGAGATCCCCGAGGCACCCGACCCGGCCGTGCTGTCAGACTGACCCGCCCGGCTCCCGGCCCCTGCCCCGCCCCACCCCGGCCGTCACGTGACCTGGTCTTGGCGTCTGCCGGGCGTGCGCCCTGGTTCACCACCGGGCCAAGGCGGGACTGTCCCTTCACGGAGCAGCGACCAAAGGTCCCCGTTTGCTGGTGGAGGTGGCTCCTGAGCCGACACTAGGAGGGTCCGGGTGACCCAGGACTCTGCTTCACAGCCCAGGTCCCAGCAGGCTGCCGCCTGGGCCCTCAGGGTCTTCAGATGACGAACAGATGCAAGTCCGTTTTAGAATTAAAAACACCCGGTGCTGTGTCTGGCTTCTTTGATCCGGCCAGGGGAGGCGGTGGTGTTTCTGGGGGGAACCAGCAGTGTCTCAAGTGCGGCCTGGGGTACGGGGTGAAAGAGAAAGCAAACCCCTCCTGGGTCGGGCACCTGGCAAGCTCTGGCTGGACAGCGGTCATCGTAGCAAGCCCATTGGGCGGCCCCACGCTCGGCGTTTTACATGGATTATTTCATTTATCGTCAAGAATCACAATCGCAAAACAGGCATGGTGGCACCTGCCTGGAATCTCAGCACTCAGGAGGCTGAGGCAGGAGGATCCTGCGTACAAACCCAGCCCGCTCTGCCGGCAGAAGAGGCTGTGTTTTCCTGAGAGACCACCAGGGGGCGCCAGGGGTCAGTTGTCCTCAGCCACCCACCCTGATGGCTTCTGGCCTAGAAGTGGGGAGAACGGACAAGGCGCTGTTTTTGCCACTGACACGATCACCTTTGCCCAGCAGGTCACCCGACTCTGCCCAAGGCCACAATCCTCCTGCAGGGCATTTAAAGATGTTAAAAGAACAATCCAGAAGAAGGATTAAGGGAAGCACATGCTGGGGGCAGCAGCTGCCAAGGTCCTGGGGCTGGGGGCTGCCTGGTGCCTGTGAGGAGACCACCACAGGGCAGGCTGGGAGCAGCAGACGGCCAGGCTCTCATGGTGCCAGCTTGTGGCCACTGCAGCCAGGCAGGGGCAGGGCAGGAGCTGCAGAGCAATTGGCATCCAAATCACGCATGAAAGCTGGGTGCCTATAATCCCAGCTGCTCGGAAGGCTGAGGCAGGAGGATTGAGGTTTGAGATCTGCCTGGGCAACTCTGTGAGAGGCTATCGGGAAATGTTCAATGTTCTGGGAGGGAGCTCAGCAAGAGCGTGCTCACCGAGCTGTGCCAGGCCTGGGACTCAACCCCCTTATTCCAAATAAAAAAAACCAAGTGACCAAGACATAAGGAAGAGGTCTGAGGACCAGGTCTGGTGCACCCAGCATTCTAATCATGAGCCCCCCGGCTTCCTGACTGCACCCTAAAACCTGCAGCTACGATTCTGAGAACTCAGCGGGGAACACGGTGGTGTCACAGACTGGAGGGTGAGAGCCCATCTTGCTGCCCATGGCCACGGGAGACTCATTAAACACACTTCTGCCCGCTGGCGGGAACACATCAGGGAAACTGAGGCACCCTACCCTGGAGAGTGACGCAACTCTTCCACAGGAAGCTGTAGATCTCAGGGGGCCTGGTCCCATCCCCAGCACTGCCGGAAAGAAAATAAGAAAGAATCTTTTTTTTTTGGTTTTTTTCGGGTATGGGGAATCGAACTCACGACATTGTGCTTGCCAGGCAGGTGCTGTGCCACTGAGCTAAATCCCCAGCCCTAAGAATCTTGAATAAGTTTTACATCCTCATCTCCTGGCATGCAACAGTATCTGTGATGCGTCTCGGAGCTATGCACAGGGTGGAGGTCTGTGCCTGTAATCCTGGCACTGCAGAGGCTGAGGAGGGAGGATCTTGGGTTTGAGGCCTTCTTGCGTCTCAAAAACAAACAAAACAGTAACAGCAGCAGAACTGCCACAGAAGGAGCTAACCGTTCTAAGCACTCACCAGGCACAGTGCAGGCATTGGCAATCGTTTCGTTCACTCTCAGTGCCACCCAGACGCTGTGGTGGTGCTGCGTGGGACCCACCGTATCGGGTGAATACTATCCCTTAGTTATTGGGGGCTGATCAGGTCTACAATCTCCTGAACGAATGTACAGCGAAAGCTAAATAAAAAGAGGCAAATGGAATGATTTCAGGGCTCCTGGAGGATCAAAGCCCTCTCACAGAATTCGAGATTCTCTCGGGGCTAAGACTAAGACCTTCTCTGGGTGGCCCGCATTTACTTAGTTATCAGAAGGGAGGGGAGTACTCAAGAAGGGTAGAACCACTCAAGGACTTCTCCAAGGAAGGTATTCAATTAATCCTTTTTTTCTTTTTTTTTTTTTTGTCTTTTTGAGACAGGGTCTCGCTATGCAGTTCAGGCTAGGCTTGAGCTCACTTTGTAGATCAGGCTGGTCTCAAACTCACAGTGATCCTCCTGCCTCAGCCTCCCGAGTGCTGGGATTACAGGTGTGGACCACCACAGCCCAGCTCAATTAATCCTTAAGAAGGATTAAATTAATCCACCTGAGTGAGATGCCTGAGGTTATAGTCTTTCTCTAGTTGAGACTGGATCCAGATTGACTGTGATCTTGTCTTATCCTTTGAGATTTTCCAGCTTCATCCACCATTACAGGTTTTAGTAGGGATCAGTGACTCACACAGGTTCACTTACTATGAGTCCGTTGCCCACGTCCAGACAAGCAGCCTAGGCTTTGGACAGGTTCACAAGTACACACAGAAAGCCAGTTGGTTAATTTAAGTCCTGCTTGGGGCTGCTCCATAGTGGTCTCCGTCATCCTCTCTCAGAGCTGGAGGCCAAAGTGCATGGTGGGTAATGCCCCCCAGGGTGAGGACTGGCTGCTACAGAATGGCTCTGGATGTCTGTGCTTTCCCAGCATCACAGGGGACTTCTGTAATCACAGAGACAAGAGGCTTTTCCCACACTGAAGGGGGACTCTCCCAGCCTGGCCTGCCCCGCCCTGGGTCCTGGCCTGTCACTGTGGTCACTCATACCCCTACTGACACCAGTGCTGTGGCCCTAACTGTGAGCTTCAGGCAGCACATGGCCATTTATTCCACCCACCCGTGGAGATATGGGATCAGGATGTGATGGCCAGTGCAGGCAGCCCTCAGGTGCCAGGGAGGGATGGATGTGTAGAGTTCAGGGCTCTTCCTGGTGGGGACTGTGTGACGTGGGAGGCCCCAACACCCCCTGGGGGCCCTCAGCATGGATTCTTCACCTGATAACACTGAGCGTCCCGGGCTTAATGACTCCAAGGGCCTCTAATTTTCACCACTGAAGGTCCTTCCAGAAGTGTCTCCACTTCCGGGAAGCTGGTCGGGCCTGGTGGGCAGGACCTGGCCTTGTACCACCTTCCCCTGGGACGTCTTCCCCAGGTACAGGACCTGCCCTGGACCAGCGTGGTCCTCCGGGCAGGCCACACACACCCCTCCTCCATCCCTGTCCCCGTCAGCCACAAGTCATGGACTGGGCCGTGGGCACTGCTCTCCCATGTCCCCCTCAATGGCCTTTTCGGGGTTTTCGCAGTGTTGAGGGTGGAGCCGTGTGGGCAGAGTCGCTGCAGGGCTGGCACCGGGGCTGTTTAAACTGTTGGGGCACTCGGAAACCCTGGTCCCTGCGCTTCTGGGGGCTCAGGCTGCCTGAGGCTGTGCAGGTGGCCTTGAGGCAGGGCGGGGTGGGGTGCAGGGGGCAGTGCGGTGGGCACCCCAGCCTGTGCAGTGTGGGGTGTGCTGGATAAGGCAGGACCGGGACGTGCAGCACATGCTTCTGCTTCAGTGTTTTCATCGTAAAGAGCTCTGCCCTCAGCCCCTCCCGCCCCTCCCTGGGCTTCGGACTCACTCGGCCCATGGTCCGCACCACTCCGGCAGCAGCTCTGGAGTCCTCTTTCGCGAGGGTCTTCAGTGGCACTGTTGTGCCTGCCCTAATATCCTGAATGGATTCAAAGCACTTTCCCTTTGTGGTTGTTTTGAGTTTGGGGAAGAGCCAGGGGTGGCATGGGGCCCAATCCGGTGACTAGGGTGGGTGAGGACATGAGCTGCGTGTCCGCTGGACAGCGCTCGGGAGAGCAGCAGTCACGGCATTTTTGCTCACACCTCATAAAGCGCTCACTTCCCCACGCCTTTCCGTCACCCCCGACACCCACAGTTGAACCCTTTCTCATGTGGCTCTGTGAGCTCGGGCAGGGGGACAGTCCCAGTCCCAGAACCCCCACGACCCCCGCCTCGCCCTGCCCACTGCCCGGCAGGTCCTCCCTGCCTTCTGACCTCGGATTTTGCCTTTGCGGGGTGGGGGTGGGGTGTCAAGGGAGCGAGGTCCCGGCTCCCACCTCCCGACCTGAATCAGCTCCTTTACCTCAGTGTCCTACAGTGAGATCCCCCATGAGGCGGCCCAGGGTGGCACCCATTGTCCTTGGGATGGAGGGGTCTTTTCTTGGGGTGGGGACACCCCGGTCTATCTACCAGGCACCCGCTGAAGGATGAGAGTTTACTCCATGTGGGGATGACTATGACGGTGCTGCTTTGAGCCTCAGCACCCACATTCAGGGGTTTGTTTTTTTTTTGGTACCAAGAATCGGACTCAGGATCTTGTGCTTGCCAGGCAGGCACTTGTGGGGTTTTTTGTTTGTTTGATGTTTTGCTGTCTGCCTGAAGTTCAAATTTTATTATTATTATTATTATTATTTTGGCTTTATATGTAGCCCAGGCTGTCCTCAAATGTGTGGCTATCCTCCTGCCTCAGCCTCCTGAGTGCTGGGATTACAGGTGTGTGCCACCACGCCTGGCCTGTTTACACACTTTAGGCATCGTGGTAGGTGTGTCACCTTTTCACAGTTTAAAAATGTAAAGACATAAGGGCCCTTCCAAGGAAAAGGCTGGGCGTGGTGGCACACGCCTGTAACCCCAGCTACTCAGGAGCTTCAGACGGGAAGATCTATAGCTGCAGGCCAGCCTGGGCAATTTAGTGACACCTTATCTCAAAATAAAGAAGTAAAAATAAAAAGGACTGGGGACACAGCTCTGTGGGAGAGCACTTGCCTAACGTGTGCCAGGCTGTGAGTTTGAGCCTCCATTCCTTTCAAAAAAAAAAAAAAAAAAAAGCCGGGCCTGGTGGCACATTCCCACCATCCCAGCACTCACAAGGCTGAGGCAGGAAGATTGCTGGGAGTTCAAGACCAGCCTGGGCTACATAGTGAGACTGTCAAAAAAAAAAAAAAAAAAAAAACAAAACAGTTTTGCAAGTGCAGTAATTTAAGCAGGGACTGGATGCAAAACAGCTGCACACACCTTCAAGTCCGGCTGGTAGTCTGCTGACCTCACACCCCAGCCGCCCCCAGCCGCGCTGAGCCTGGGGGCTCCGGAGATAGTGAGGCAGAGCCACAGGCAGCTCTGCTGTGAAATCCAAACTTCTCTCGGACTCGCTCCCCCGCCAGCCCTGCATTCCTGGGGTAATCTGTTCCAGCCGCAGCCTCTGCGGCAGAGCACCCGGTGGGTGAAACCTCCCTGCTCCCCGAGCGCCCCCTGGTGGTCATGTTCCACACCGATGATGATGATTATTATTACTATTATGGAGGGGTTGCTTTTATCTTTGTTTTTGGAGACAGGGTCTTGCTATGCTGGCCTTGAACTCGCTATGTAGCCCAGGCTGGCCTTGACCTTGCAGTGATCTTCCTGCCTCAGCCTCCTGGGTGCTGAGATTACAGGTTGTGTGCTACCGTGCCCTGGTGCACATATATAATTTTAAATCTAAATCCCAGCACTCTGGGAGGCTGAGGCAGGAGGATGGTGAGTTCGAACCTAGCCTGGGGCACTTCGAGATTCAGGGAGACTCTGTCTCAAGAGTTTTAAAAAGGACTGGGGATGGAGCTCAGTGTGAGGCCCAGGGTTCAATCCCCAGAAACCAACAAAACAAAACAAAACCCCACTCCAGGGCTTGTTTCCAATCCATGGGCAGCATGGTTAGAAGCCTGTCTGATATCCTCCTCCTCAAGGCCCACCTGGCCCTGCTGCCCCTCACACTCTCCCTCCTAGGCTCAGGCTACCTCAGGACCTTTGCACCTGCAGCCCCTGCCTGCCTCCAAGGCCTTTGTGGTGAGAGGGGCTTCCCTGGTGCAGATGCGACAGGCCAACAGGCCAACCCCCTGTGCCCACTCATCCTTGCTGTCCCTACGTTGTTACAGTCACAGAAATACTGCCTCTGCCAGCGCACAGGGACCTGTGTGCTCTTGGGCACCAGGGAGCGGCCCCGGCGTCCTCCCTCCCACCTCCCCCAGCCCACCCCGGCAGGATTCCAGGCCAGGCTCCTGAACCTGTCCGCGTGGGCGTATTGACACCCGGGGACTGACAAACCAGGTCCCTGACCCGGACCTCCATCAAAGAGCCGCGGGCTCACAAGGCCACCTGGCCATGGACACGACCCTCTGCCCCCTCCTGTGCCCTGGGCGGAGCCCGCCAGCCCTGGCTCCGCCCTCCTGGTCCCGCTTCCCCTGGGCTGCCCGAGGCGGCTGCGCGCGGACTTCGGTGCCCGCTTCCTTCACCCAGGAGGCGCCGAGGCTGCGCCCTCGCAAGATGCCCAGAACGCGGCCCGTCGGCACAGTGACGCTGCGAATCGAAATCAGCCGAATCTGGGGCTTCAGACGGGGCCAAGCCACCTGTCTTTCGCTACATGCAGCAGGCTGTGCGGACCCGGGGGCACAGACGCCCTTCCCAGGGCAGGGCCAGAAAACAGCCTTGGCCGCCAGACTGAGCCCTGATGCACTCCAGGCCGGGCGCGGATCCTCAGCCGGCAGCAGCCTCGCCCCAGACGCCTGTGCCCTGCGTTTCCTCCCCACACATTGTTCTTGATCTAAAGAGTGTAAAAGCAGCGAGCAACTGGTTATGGTGTGTGCCGGTGATCCCCGCACTCACAGAGGCTGAGGCAGGAAGGTCTCCAGTTGGAAACCAAGCCGGGCAACTTCGCGGATTCTATCTCAAAAAAGAAAAGAAAAGAGCTTGGGATGGAGCTCAGCGTGAAAGCCCTTGATCCAATCCCCAGGACCAAAACAACAACAATAATAATGCTAACAAAGCATCACAGGCTGGCCATTTTTTCCAACTTCCCCTCCTATGAAGACTCTGCTCACAGGCACAGCAAACCGGATGTGTGGCTTTTCCCCTGCGAAAGGACCTCACGCTGGCCTGGTCCCCAGATCAGCCCAGGTGCTGCATGAGACCTTTAAAGAAAAATGGTGGTGGTCCAGGCGTGGTAGCGTATGCCTATAACCCCAGCACTCGGGAGGCTGAGGCAGGAGGATCGCTGTGAGTTTGGGGCCAACCTGGGCTACAGAATGAGCTCAAGGCCAGCCTGAACTGTGTCGTGAGACCTTGTCTCAAAAAAAAAAAAAAGACAGAAGAAAAATGATGGTGGCGGGGAGCCCCTTGCCCCGACCCTCACGCTGGCTCAGGGTGGCACAGAGAGGTTGGCAGCGGCCCAGGCTCACACAGCAGGCCGCGGGCGCCCCGTGGCCTCTCCAGGAAGCAGGGTGCATTCGGGGACAGCACTTCAAACTCCATGCTCCCTGCTTCCTTCCCCACTCACAGACGGGGCCGGTGGCCCTCTGATCACAGGGCTCCTTGGCGTGCGTGACAGGGCTCCAAAGTGCTCAGCTCATGCTAATCCCACCACAGCTGATCCCAGCAGTCAGGAGGCTGAGGCAGGTGGATCTCAGCAAATTTGAGGCCAGCCTGGGCTACGTAGTGAGACCTTGTCTCAAAAAAAAAAAAAAATTTTTAGAGTCTAATTTGTCAGATTGGGGCTGGGGATTTAGCTCAGTGGCACAGCGCCTGCCTGGCAAGTGCAAGGTTGTGAGTTTGATTCCTGGTACCAGGAAAATAAATAAATAAATAAATAAATAAATAAATAAATAAATAAATAAATAAATAAATTGTCAAATTTTGGGCTGGGGATATAGCTCAGTGGCACAAGCACCTGCTTAGCAAGCGCAAGGTCATGAGTTCAATTCCCGGTACCAAAAATAAAATAAATTGTCAAATTTCTCCAAGGCCTGAATGACTGGAAGTTCTGAGGACAGGGGACTTTGAGGGAAGGGCAGGTGCCCGGCCAGGCTGGGGTTGCAGGAAGCAGAGTGGGCGGCCGGAGTAGGACAAAAGTCCTTTGCTGCCTCAGCGGGGTCACCGGCCCTGCTGGAGCCGCAGGCAGCAGGTTGGGGGGCAGTGGGGCGGGAGTGCTGGGGGCGTTGGGTGGGTGCAGGGCAGAGCCAGGCAGGGGACTCCGCACAGGCTCCCTGGAGTCACCAGTTCCAAGCAAGGCACGGCCACGGCTACGTCCCAGGCTGTTCTGGGACCCCCTAGTGGATTCAGTTCCACTCCCCTTGAATCTGGGGCGCCCGTGACATGCCCCGGGGACAGGATGTGGCAGAAGCGGCCCTGTGAAACTTCAGAAGCTGCAACACTTCTGTCAACTGGGAAGAAGCCCAGGAGGGGCTTGTCAACACTTCTGTCAACTGGGAAGAAGGCCAGGAGTCCCCTACACTCTGGATCCCAGCTACACCACCAGCAGACCATGGCTCAGCACCAGCCAGCGCAGCCACAGAGCTCTGAGAAGCCACCAGCCCCTGCCTCGCACAGTGTGTCGGGATGGTTTGTTACTCAGCAGGTGATAACCGCTACACTCTTCTACCTGTGGTTTACAGCTGAGTCTACACCTACGTGGGTCACTTTGGTTAGGCAAACTCAGTTATGATGGCTTTTATGTGAATAATCCTGTTCTCTAGGATTCATTCTTCCCACACACAGATCTAATTGTCAACTGGGTGAGCAGGGGAAGGAAATATGGTGTCTCCCTGTTACCAAGAGGGGACACAGAGGCTTTAAGAGGTGTGACTGTCCCAGCATTACTTAGCACATCCACAGAAATGCTGTTATGGGCTAAATTATGCGCTGTGATTCCAGCACTTGGAGGCTGAGGCAGGAGGGTCACTGCAAACTCAAGGGAAGCCTGGGCTATATAGTGAGTTCAAGACCAGCCTGAACTATATGGCAAGACCCTGTCTCTGATAGAAGAAGAAGAGGGAGAGGGTGGGGAGGGGGAGAGGGAGGAAAATACCACGCTGCCACATGCCTGTCATCCTAGCACTTGGGAGGCTGAGGCAAGAGGAGTCCCAGGAGTTGGAGGCTAACCTGGGCTACATAGCAAGATCCTGTTTCAAAACACACACACAAAAAATGTAAAACAAAATAATAAATAAGGTTAAAATGTGTTACATAGCGCTTTCTCTTCAACTCACAAATTTCACCCCTAGGAAGTCGCTCTTAGTAGAAGCCACAGCGAAGGTCTAGCTTCGCCGGAAGGAATCCAGTGAGATCTCAGCGAAGGTGGCGCAAGCCGGCCGTTCAAGCGCGGGAGAGGGCCGAGCAGTGCCCTGCCGGGAAACAGGCTTCGCAGAAACGATTTCAGCCTCGAAGGCAGCACACGGTGGAGTAAGTGGTAAGTTATGAAACGGTGCCCGTAATCTTATCTCTCAGGTCGATTTAATTATAGGAAAAGAGATGGGGACGAAGACAGATCTGGAAACCAGACTGCGCGCAGCGCTGATCTCCAGCGGCCCTGGGTCAGCCACGTTCTCCGTTCCATCTGCTTTGGAGAAGCACAAACACTCAAAGTTTCTCCTTTTTTTTTTTTTTTTTTTTTTTTCTTAAGAATTCATAGATCATCCTATAAATAGCAGCTCTGGACAGAGAATTGGAAACTGTTTTGAAAGAGTTTTCAAGGATACCTGACCTGGGTTCCAACGGTCAGCTCTGTTGCAAAAGACTTTCCCAGCCCTGGTGGCCGAGGGCTACCTCCACAGGAGACCTCCTGTCCGCAGGCTGCGTCCCTAGACTTTGCCAGTCAAAACTGATGGCCAGGGCCGGGGGTTTAGCTCAGTGGCACAAGCGCCTGCCTGGCAAGTGCAAGGTCCTGAATTCGATTCCCGGTACCACAACACACACACACACACACACACACACACACACACACACACAAAACCAATGGCCAACAAACAAAACAAACAAACACTGATGGCCAGGGGCCTCCAGAATATCTAGGCAGGAAGGTGGTCACCCCTGAGGGGTGGGCTTTTTAAAAAATATTGGGGATTGAACCAGAGGTCTTTGTCATTCTGCGCAAGTGCTGTACCACTGGGCTACAACCCCAGCCCTTTAAATTTTGTTTTGTTTTGAGGCAGAATCTCAGTTCAATGTCAGGGCTGGGCTATGACCTGCCATTCTCCTGCCTCAGCCTCCTGAGCAGCTAGGATTATAGGTGTGGAGTACTACGCTTGGCATGAGGTATGGTCTTGGGACTTTTATCCAACTTGTACTTCCAAGGCAACACACAGTGTGCTCTGACACCATAGGTTAAAAGCACCAAGAGTTGCCTATAATCCCAGCACTCGAGAGGCTGAGGCAGGAGGATGGTCATGAGTTCAAAGTTCAGGGCCGGGAGGTATGATAGACACTGTGAAATGATAGGAAACCACCGAAGAGTAAAGGGCTTCTGGGATGTGGGAAAAGAGAAGGGAAAGAAGGAGAAATTTTGTAT